GTGCACTTTTGGAAGAAAGCATGAAACTTCCCACAGTGATACTATGACACCTAAAGATCATTAAAAAAAAAAGACCCCAAAAAATAACGCCTCCTAATGGCCACCATCTTGAAATCCAGTATGGCCGCCTTCCAACATAATTTCCTGATGATTGCATGATACTCTCTGATATTAAAAATATGGTTAACCGTGTGATTGACTGTGTTACGTTACTGTACATATTAAAAGATAATGACAAAAATAAGAATATTTTCGCAGCCATCTTGAAATCAAATATGGCGGCCATCTGATGATGATTGCATGATACTCCCTGATATTGAAAACATAAGTAAAGGCCTATGAATGCCAGTGATAGGTGCTGTAGATATGAAAATTATTGATAAAAATCCAATTTTGGTGGCCATTTTGAATTTCAAGATGGCGGTCACTAAGCGGTGTTATTTTTTGAGGTTTATGTTTTTTTAATGATCCTTAGGTGTCATAGTATCACTGTGGGAAGTTTCATGCTTTCTTCCAAAAGTGCACGATTATTCTCCTTAGCTGCTCTACTATTATGAAAAATACCACTACAGTGGTAAACTGTTGAAAAAGTGGATTTTGGCAAAACCCCCTGGTTACGGGCCTGCATAGTCTACCAGGGAGGGGGAATGTGTAAACCATTTCTTTAGTGTTTTAATTTCATCATGCTATAAAAATAGATTCTAACTAAAACATTGTTCCACCCATTCACCTGATCCACCCAGTAGGCCTACTTAGATCTACAGGAACATAGTTGCTGATACAAAGTTAACATATTGATATAGTAAAACTTGGCTTTTCTCTGGTCTGGTGAATTAAATAGCTGTGCTTCCAACTGCTAATTAAAAAAAACTATAATTAACACCAAAGGTTGTCTACATTATATACAATCCCCCACCCCCTAGAAAATGGGAAAATTCATGATGCCTCTGATGATGCCTCTGAGTCACCCATAATGTGGTCATGCACTTTTTTCAGCCCTTTTCAGCCCTGCTTGTACTTGCACTCTACAGTGTACCACATGATTCTATTACATGAGCTAACTGCTACATGCTTTGTGCTAACCAGTAAACTCTGAAGCTTGGCTGTACAGTAGAGAAGCGAAGTTGCCTGTAGACACGATCAATAACGCATAGAGTCGGGTGAACAGTCTGAAACAACCTTGCCTGGATGGTCTCCAAGGAAGTCTCTCATATTAGACAATATCCTAAGAGATGCATCCATTGATTATAATGAGATGTCAGTACTAGTGAACATGTACTGTCAGTTTTAGATGTGGTGGGACACTGGTGGCATTTAGATGAGTAATTAAAATTCACCATACATTGCGCTATGAATAAAACACAAGAAACAAGGATCATACAGTAGGAATGAACTTGTTTTATGCTAATGATTATTTATTGAGAATGATGCTAGTGAGTATGTATGATGATAATGATTAACTGATGATGGTAAAATGTTGGCTTGTGATTACCGGATGGGAGTGGTTCTCTGACATAATGTTATAGACGTGTTAAGTTTCTATCCAGCAGTTATAATATGCAATGAAGAATAAGAATGATGATGTTGATCATCAGTTGGTGATGATCATTGAAATTAAATGAATTGGTATTAAATGAATTGGTAATAATGAACAGTGATAATTGAAGATTCATTGTTTTATGATGATATCTGACGATCAAATTATTATGATAGTGATTAAATAATAATGCTTATGATCAGATGATGATCTTGATTATAAATTGATGGTAATGATGATAATGATGATTCTAATAATGTGGATCAGATGGTTATTGTGGTAAGAATATGATGGTAATGATGATTAAATAATGATGTTGATTAGATGATGATATGATTATGGTTGTGATGATGACAATGATGACAATAACACCATAATCCCTACCCACTACCATTACATCATGAACTGAAGATCAAACTTCAAAGTAAGTTCTCATTTAATCTTTCCATTATGATGATGATTACATGGTGATGATAAATGATGACAATAATGATATCAGATGATGAATATGATGATCAAATAATGATGATGCTATATAAATATAATGT